AGTGCTACAAGAGAAGATTCTATCAGTAAGGTAACATTTGAAGCGAGGTCACCTATGTAAAAGAAATCTCAGCTCCAGAGTAGAGATGTACAAATTGTTTGGAGTTGCCCTATTAACAGAAACACAACACTCTATGGAGAGGGGAGGAAACCGGCCCAACACAACAGATCAATGTAGGTGCTTTGTAAAAAACTAGATTCTCTATAGTTATTACTTGATGTTTCCTTAAATTCTCTATTTCAGAAATTCTGGGTTAAAAGCACAAACATGGAAGCAGAGGCCCCCACTGCACTCTTAAAACAACAAAGTAATTCTCTGGCCTTTCATCTCTCTTGCCACCAAAGAAACTGGATCTGGCCTTGGACACTGGGGACCCTGTATTTCCCTGGAGTCATGGGGGGAGGGTAATTAAGAAATTGGAAGTGCAGACGGTTCCAGGAGAGAACAGACCAGTTTGTTGAGCGGCTTGTGGCTCAGGAAACAGTTGCCATGCCAACCAACTGAGTTCTAAAAGCTTGGCTTTCTATCCCAAGAGCTCTGCCTCCTCACCCATGTCTGAAATAGCAGGACATCGGTGTCTTCAAAAGCATCTACAAAACAGGTTTCCTTAGTCACAGATGTTAAAGGGTATTGTCAATTGTTTCCTTTAAAAAAAAATCCAGAGCTACAACAACAAAAATAAATTTTGGCAACGTATTTCAGTAAAGATCAAACTATGTGCAAAGAAAGGATTTTCTGATCGTAGGAGCATGTCTTGAACATGCGGCTTTATATTGCAATCTGGGCTGTAGCTAAGGAGTAATCCACACGATGCAGGAAATCCAAACATTTCCTTGAAATTGTACAACCCTACTCCAGAGTAGTCAAAAGTGCTGCTGCTGAACACCTCGGTGTTCCACACACACACACCAGCCCCGTCCCTGAGTAAGACGTGTGAAAGGTTCTGCAGAGTTCCTTGCAGGGGAAGGAAGGATGCTACCGCTTCCTGAATGGGGGTGGGGGAGAACCCAACAAGCTCACCTAACAAGACACAAGGGATTCAGAGTTAAGGAATTCTGCCACCACCAGAAAAATCAAGTCATCCCAAACCAGGCTGGATGAGTTCAGAAAAAGCAAAACGTGACCAACAAAGATCATCCTGAAAGTCCAAATGAAAATACAATTTGGATTTCCACTTTTAAAAAGATTTGAGGTAAGTGGCACCTTGTTCTTCCCTCCCCACTCCCACGCCCCACTGTCCCCAGGGTGGCCCAGACAAACTGAAATAATTCTTAAGTTAAACATTCTAAGGAACAGTCATTTTATATATTTAGAAATCCCTATAAAGAGAGGTTCCTGTTTGTTGGTTTCTTATTAATAATATTATTATGTTTTCTTTTCGCCCTGACTAATTTCGTGGTGATTGTGTTCTGTTGTAAACACAAAAGGCCTGCTGTTATTATTATTTTTTTAATGGAAAACAGGTAAGAGAGAAGAAGAAAAGATGGTTGTTGGTAAATATTGCAGAGAGGACGCAGTACAGAGGCACGTGGCTGATCCTTGTTTGCTGACTGACATCGAAGAATTTTCACCCATCATGAAGGCGCCTACACAGAAGCGGTGACCACAGCAGAGCCCACCGACGTCTGCAGACAAGAGGCGGCTCCTCCTCTCTGTGTTCTTCCTGTGTGAGGAGAAGGCTGCCAGAAGGAATGATGACTGTGACTAGCACGTGGTCCCTTCTAGAGCCACAGGCTGGCATGCTCAGAACACAAGCTCATTCGCAGTATGTTGCCTGCCAAAGGCAGGGCTCAAAGTCCCAAGGACACAGAAGAGACTGGAAAATGGGTTGAGTTCAGCCTACATTGCTCCGGAGCATGTCCTAGAAACTGAAATATATATACCTCTTTCCTTGCTGCACACCAGGTTCACTATTTTCTGGGGTGATGGGCCTCTGCAGCTCTTCCCCCAGGTCTCCTTAGCTGTCTCTCTCTCTGCATCATGGTGGTAGACACACAGGCTCCTGTAGGTTTCCTGCCCCAGCACTTGGGCATCCACAATAAGGGAAGGCAAGAAGGCTCACTCCTTCCCTCCAGCCTTTCTCTGGCCAGCAAGGGGGAAGGAAGATCGACCCACCGAACAAGGAAAAAGCCAAAAGGGAATGAACTTGAACTATATAGCGCACTATTGGCACAGAGAGTATTGCACATGCTAAAAGAGCGAGAATAAAATTGGACATATGTTTCAGAAGAACCAATGATTTTGATAATCTTATACCTGAAATAGAACCACAAAAATAAAGATGTTCCTATTGCTCCGAACTGTGTGTGTTTACCCATTTTAGTGTTGGTTTAGTGGATACAGTCAGTTCAATCCTCAAAGTAAGCCAGAAGGTGGTGTCTGTGTGTTTTCTGAGCTCACACGAGCTGTTGTAAATAGTGGTATGAATGAGAGACAGCGCCTGTGTGGCAGCCCCGTACTCCTCTAACCATCAAAGGTTAAAAATCAAAAAGGAAAACAAAAACCTAGTACAGTGCAAGTGCCCTGAGCAGAATATATGGAAGATTAAGCAAGTTCTCCAAACAGAAACATTAAGGAAAAATTAAAAAAAAAAAAAAAAACGGCACTAAATAAGCAATGTGAGTACAAGAATGGGCTCCCCCAGCTCTGCTAGCATGCCAAGAGGGTAGCGAACTTCAGAACTTCAAGAAAAGTCA